TTGCATTAATAAGATGATAATCTTTATAGTTAAGCTTTATGTGACTATTAAAGATTTTGATAATTTTCATATACTTTATGGGTGGTGTATGATTTGTAGCTTGTAATGTCAGAATGGGTTAAACCAATTGGCTGAATTTAGAATCGCTCAATTTACCAATTTAGAAGAATCATAAAACCAATGTGTAAAAAATTACTCAAAAATCAAATGAACCAACTAAAAAATTGATCAAGAACCACTTCAAAAAAGCTAGTTTGAACTATTTTTTTTATAAATGTTTTTCTTTATTTTCTAAAGCTTTTTAAAATTCTTTTTATGATAAATAAATAAAATATTTAATAAAAATTATAAATTAAAATAAATTATGTTATTTATTATTTTTAATAATATTCTTATAAAGATATAATTTAATCATTTATATTAATTTTGTAATTTTTATATCATAAAATTTTATATTTTATATTATAATAATTTAAGATAACACAATTCAACATTTTCATACCTTGCAAAACATATTGAAATTTTTTTAAGCAACTCATACTCAAATATTTGTGGTGGCTTCAAATCAAAACAACTCTGAAGAAGTGACCAATTATGCTGTATCGGAGGAAAAATAAAACTTGCATTTCCTTATTGAATATTTTTTATTCATCCATTGCATTAGCTAATCTTTCAATAGAATTTTCACCCAAACCGACAGAAAGCTTAGAAACAAGAAAACTAACCATTGGACCAAATGCACTTGGAGTGGGCCACAAAACATTGCTCATTGTCTACACCAATTTGTCCATTACAAGAAAACACACCTAAAGTCTTCAGCTTTGTAGAAAAAAAAACCAAAAACCAATTATAATTTTACCCAAATAAAAAAATAGTAGCAAAATCTAAGATTTCAATTGGGAAATTATAATTTTAAGCATCACGGAATGGTATTAGCATATGCTAAAACTCAAACCTAGTACATTAGTTCAACAAACCTCCCTCACTTTTCGATTTTCTTTCAACTACGTATTTGTAAAAAAAATTGCACACCCATGGTACAAACAAAATGATTAATAAACTTATAATTCCTTATTTCTAAAAAAAACCAAATATAACATAATGTTTGTATCAAAACATAAAACATAAATAAATATTTCCACTAAACTAAGGTAATCTTAAAAACAATACCCATATGAGCAACATGCTCATGAAAAACTTTAGGCATCAAGTCCTTACTTAGTATATTAGATGCCACTATATTAACATCATGAAAAATCAAAGTCATAATTCTTAATAATCTCTAAACTATCAAATCTCTTATTTGTGTGCCTATTCACTTTTTGTTCTCTTTAATAATCTTTATAATTATTTTCCTAATAATTTATACTTGAATTACTTGAGTATCTATCAAATGATCCTACTTTATACGCTATTTATAGATGCATACAAATAAAGTCATGAATTACTCTTTTTATAGCTAAATAATTGGGAAACTTTCGCATTTCATGAATTACCAAAGTTTCTTTTAAGCATAGCCCTTAGCTACAAAACAAACCTGATATTTTTCCATATTACCATTTTACCTTTCGGTAATGAGACAAATTTCAAACCTTATTGTCTAGTAGGGGTGTGCAAAAAATTCAAATTGATCCGAACCGATCCGATCCATATTGAAAAATCCGATCCATTTTGAAAAAAAATCCGAACCGAACCACTTTATAAAACCGGTTCAGTTATCCGATCCATTTTTACAAAGTGGATCGGTTCGTTCGGTTTGGTTTTCTAAAAAAATCGATCCATATATGAGTAAAAAAGTGGATAACTACACCGCACCGAACCGATCCAATTTCAAAAAAATCGATCCATATTTAAAAAAAACCAAACCGATCCACTTTATAAAAATGGATCGGTTAACCGATCCACTTTTATAAAACGGTTCGGTTCGGTTTGGATCGGTTTTTTGAAAAAACCTATCCATGAACACTCCTATTGTCTAGTACAAACTTGTCTTATTATTGTTTCAATTCATTATTTTGAATTAAAACTCCTTATAGTTTGGAAATTGATATCATCATCTTCTATTGTATCATTTACTTAATGTTCCTCAAGAAATAATATATAAATATAACAAATATTATTATCTCTTCCTTAGTGGATCAAAAAAAAAATGGATACTAATATTCTAGTTCTTTAGGATGTTGAGTTTGACCTTCACAAATAACTTTCTTATTTTGAATGAGATGAAGAACAAAAATATCTTCACAAAGATCCAAATTTTCTATATAAATAGTAATTGCAAGAAATTGTTTAGAAATTAGAACAAATTCTTCCTCGAATGTAATGTTCTTTAACTTCATTTTTCCCCAAACTCAAAGAACTTAACAAAAGTAGGAAACATTTATTTCTATAAATATTTGATGTGCTAATAATGGAAATAATTGTTACTTTAGTTTTTCCCCTTGAGATAAACCCTTAAAAAAAGGAAAGAAATTACTTAAACAATTTAGTTTTTTTTTGCCTTTATGCACGATACACAAATAATTTAAAGAGAATGAAAGTACTCAAAAATACTTCACAAAATACCTAGAACACCATTAACATGAAGTTTTGACACAAGCGTTAACTCTTAATGGTATTTTGTTATAATTAAATTTTAACAATTAACATTATTAATAATAAACTCCTCATTGGATTGATTTATCATTCACAATAAACCTTATAATTATCACATGTTTACCATGACATGTGTAAGCACAATCTTGTCAAACACTAATTAACCTTTCTTTAGGCCGACTAATGTTTGCATAGATTTACTTACACAATATTAAATATCTCTTACTAGTGATTTCCTATAGTGAAGTTACATAGGTAACTTCATATTTTATTTAGCTCAATCAAAAATTAAATTGGAAAATTTTAAGACATAAACAAGATACTTAACACACCATTAATCTTCAATCTTTGGATTAAAGTGATTAATTGCAAATGGTACTCTCAATGCAATGATCAAATATTGGTGACAAAGTCTTGTCAAACAATGTTTTTCTTTGGACATTCCATTATTCAATTGAATATCTAAAGTTCCATAATGAGACCTTAGTCTCTTCAGATGGGGAGAAAAGAGTAAAGTTGCGATTTGATATATCGGTGACATAACCTTCATATAATGTTTTAACCTAAGATAGTTCTATTATTCCCTAAAGGGCCAATTGACATTTGCTCATTTAAGTCTATATTATCTAATTTAGTAGTCTAATGAACTTACTTTAATTTGACCACATAAAATAAAATCCAAGAGTGATAAATAAATAATATATTTGTTTTATAGTATTAGCCTAAATTAATTATTGAATTATAAAATTTCAACAATTTCAAGTTAAAAGACTACTCTATATGATTTTCATGAGAAACGCTTATGACACTTGTTATGAAGCCTTCTCATGACTCTATCTTGTATAAATATTTATCTCTAATGTTTATATATGTATTTCCGATTTGATATCTCCATATACATGTGAAATGCAATTATCGATCAACTCATACAATAGTTTTAATGTACTATTGTCCTTTTAATTAATAATATATAATACTTAGTTAAAAGTACTTATAATATATATATATATATATATGTATATTTTTTTTTAACATTTGGTGTATTGGTATCATGCTTGTAAGTGTGTCACTCCCAGTTCTAGCTCTTACTCCACTTCCCGTGTCTTGTCATAATTTATTCTTACCATCAAATGTCCA